ACAGGCGAGGATTGCAAGTTTGGTGAAGTGTTTTTGAGTCATTCAAGTGCAGCCGCTTGGTGTGGCTGTAAAGCATCGGATCGCGGATCGATTTCTGGGGGCCGTGGACCGACCGTTTTTAGCAGAAAATCACAGATCTTCCCTCTTTGTCATTCGGTTCATAATGATCCCGAGTTATTCTACGCAGGAACGTGTACACAAAATTTGCCACTTCCAGCATTCGGCACGCAGCTTACGTTGATTATTGTAATTGCATGATGGTTTTCTCACTATGGAATGTTCGGGGAGGTTAACATTTTTACCAATTTATGGCATGTAATACACGAAAATCTTCTGGCAGTCTGCGCGGTGGTTTGACAGGGCGTTAGTTTGTTCGTAACTAAGTAATAGTAAGAGAAATTCTATGTAAATTGATGTGTAATTCAAATGTTTGACTTAATTTACGGATTTATAATAATAGTTTTAAAAAACGGAAAATGTAGATGAATTGAACATGGTTTGTAAATTAATCACATTAAACTGTAACTTTTTATAATGTTATTTTATCAATAAAATGTTATTGTTTATTTTACTCTGTGATAAATTAAAAAAATTGAAATTTGTTCGTTAACAAGTTTCATATTTTTTTTACTAAAGTTCAACGAAAAAATAAAAGTATTTTCGTAAATATCTAATACGAAATTTTGTGTATTAAGTTTAATATAACATTTCACAATAATCAATTTTAAAATCAATTTTATTTAATTAGGTACATCTGTAACCCCTTTAACCACTCCACTGAGGTTTAGTACCAATTGTGCAACGTTGGTTGCCTATACTCGACGTTCACGTGGCTGGTAATCATTTATGAGGGTACTATTTCGAATTTTCTTGTATATTTTCTTTTTACGTTGTTACTTTTTATATTGTACTGTTTTACTTTTTACTGTCACTTTTCACTTTTTTACTACTTTCACACTGGTGCAAGCTACCACAAGTGTTTCTGTGACAAATGGACTCGTTTTGTTTAATCTGCGAATTCGCGTCACGAACAAAGGCGAAGTGTTCCGATGTGTACATCGTAAGCATGATTTTAAGTCGGCGTTTGTGGTGTTTTTTGTGTGACTAGTTTTTATTATTATTACGGAATGGGTACTATGCGAATGTGATGCGTTCCTTACGAAAGTATAATTATTATGCCCGACCTGTTTTTGATAAAACGATTGCAACGTATTAGCTAACTCACTGGATTTCATCCATTTGGTTTTACAAGATTTATCAATGTCGTGGTTTTAAAGCTGACTCATGTTTTCATGTGTGGGACCATTTCACTATTTTTAAATTCGTAAAATGTATAATGCATCCGATTCCCAGATTAATTTCAATCGGATTTTATAGGTAATCCTAATAATATCATATTCAACCTGATCCGCAATTAATTAATATGTATTATATAATAATAATTTCAAATAACATTCTAGTTATAATGAAACAGCTTTATTTTTGAGGAATATATTTAAACCTTTAAACCGTTCAATAATTGCATTTACAGTTAAATTAAACAAAAGAGAGATACATATTATAGGTATATTAAAATTAGAATCTAATTGTGTCCCAGGTACGACCACAAAATAAAACTAACCTTATTTCAGGGTGCAGGGTTGACTGAGCTAGCTAATTACGTATGTAACGTCTTTAACAACAATTAATTGTGTTACTATTCTCAGCATCAATGACCTCTGACATTGACCTAGTTCCACTGAACTATACTACAGTCACTACGCACAGCAAACATGGACAGAGCAGTTAAAACAAATACCCTTAAAAAGTTATAAAATTCTAAACAAAGTATGGTCTTTTTTTTATTAAGCATCAGCTGAATAATAATATTTAATCGTAAAAAGAGCCTAATTTACGTCAACGGTATACCCTGCACAGTTTAAACTTAAGCAGAATCCGATCCTGATCCAAACCCTTACGAAGGGCAACGGAGGCTAGCCTCCTAAGCCAGAGCAGATCCTACTGTGTGGCCCGTATATATTAAGGGTTTGTAGAGGAGCGTACGCTCCTTTATATCTTTGGTGGCGCAGCATATTTCGTCACCACTTCGTTTTATTAAATTTATTTTAGTTTTATGTATATCGGTTTATGAGAAGATGCTTGTGAAGTGTTTTTGTTTAGTGTAAGTGTACATGTTATTTATTTCAGTGTTTAGTGACGGTACAGTGTATTTTTGCGTATTTTCGAGTTTCTGTCTGGTATTACGAAAAAACATGTATACGAATTGAAAAACATTTTGCATGGGAACTTTGAGTGAGAAACTTTTAAACGCCGTAAAAGAGGATCCTGTTATAGTTGTTACGATCTCAATTGGAACCGCATAAAAACATTTAACTTATAAATTCTACGGAATCCATAGACGTCCAGAAAAATTTAGACCTGTCACGTGTAGATACTATATTCCGAGCTATATTACCATATAATTACCATACAATTGTCAAGTTTTTTATGTTTAAAATCGCATTGTAATAAAGCATGTCGTAAAATATCTAAAGATTTATAATTATGATCATGATAATCGCTTAATTTATCTCGAATCATGTTTAAAGTAGGAACTTTATTTTCTTTATACATATTATAAATTGTGCTCCGCATTACATCTGGTAAAATTGTCAATTTTCTTTAATTTTGTATTTTTCCGTATCCTCTTTGTACCGTGATCAATCTTTCTTTAATTACGCGATAAATTGGCCTTTTTTGGATATCTTAGTTAATTCGTTAATCCGTTTCCTAACTTTTTTATCACGTTGTTCACTATTTTTAATTTTCAAACATTCATATATATTTTTAATATAATACGTTGACTTTTTACGTGTAAATCTTTGTTTTTAAACTCTGAGTTTGTTTCGATACTTTCGACAAAACCCGGTTCCACTATTTGGGGATTTTCCCAAGTTATTTCGTTATCCTTCGCTACAAAGAGCCTCCAGAGAGCCACGCTAAATTACTAGATAATTACATATAACATTTATTTTAATAACTATTACCCTTTACTGGTTACTATATGAACAAATATATCAACTAATAAATAATAATACGTATTATACCAACAACATACCCCGCCAAGCAATGCTCTGCACGGCACTGGCAAAGCGGCAAAGCTAAGTGAACCCGTGTACCATACAAAAAAAATTATTTACGACCTAGTGGACCAATACAGGTTTGCTTTGATGACCAGCGCGCCGCCGTCAATTCTACATCAGGCGGACTAGTTTATACATGTTTACCAATACCGGACTCGCCGAATTGCTATTCGATTATAAACTACGAGACACATCATGGTCAAAGCATAAGAAGAAATTTCAGGAGAAGTGCATACGGTCCTGTGCTTTAAGATTTACAGGTTCCAATTGACATCGTAACTATACCAATACACTAAGATTAGCCACAAATTTGAAGTATGTCATATGCTGTAAAAATCTGGTGATGAACAGATTATGTACTTATTTTTGTGTATTTCATTTGTCATTGTTTATTTATTACTATTTTAGTTTTCTGTTCAAATCAAAAATAAATTCGTATGGAAATGAACCATAGGGGTGGAAAATTTTTCGTTAAATCAAATTCCCGCCCATATATTTTTTGTAAATAATATTTATATACGCACATGACGTACATTTTTAAACTGATTTTCAAAAATATGTACGTATAGTTCTGGAGTTATAAAATTCAATCGATTATTGTAAATTTAAGTGGACAACGGTGCCGTTTAGGCTTCACATTAAAAAAGGGACGCCAACCTAAAGCTCGACGGCTGGTCATTCTACCCATAATCCCCTTTGTTATATGATGAATGACAGACAAAATGACAACTCTCAAAGAATATCTGTGATATATTCGTTCCAATATCAGGTTAGAAAAGAAATTCCACCGTCGAAAATATGCGGATTATTGGAGATTATAAAGATAGATCGATTTTAAATTTAATTTATAAACAAAGGGTGAATCCGCAAAAAAATGGGTTTAGTTATTAGGTCGCGAACATTATTTATGTTTGATTATTTCGTAGATTTGCCTTTGATAAACTTCGATCGGTTAGCTCGTGTTTTTTTTTTGGGGAATTACTCAGTTCGGACATAAACTGCTTTTGTAATTACGTCCAGTTGAAAAAATGGTAGATTTATTATCCTTTTTAAAGTTTGGAAGTGAATTGCGTTGCGTTTAAGTCAGGTTTGAAAATATTCCATGTCGATCCATATTTAATTTCGCAAACATTTTATTTATATTTTTAAGTATGTTCTGAATAGAACGAAGTTACATATCTTTATATATTTTTACTTTATAAGGAAATCTTTTCGGGGATCTTTTCCCCGATGATATTTTCCAGTACACCTGATTTTAATATAACGTCTAGCTATTTTTAGCAGTTGTGTTGTACTTAGTCGAATATAATTTCAGAATTACAAGGGAAAAATTAATTTACTTTTTCTTGGGGGTTTCTCTTACCTTTATAATTGATTTAATGTAATACTATAAAAGTCTAACATTGAAAAAATATATGTTTCATTTAAGGAAACTTGTAATGCCTACTATTTACTTTGAGTTTAGAGGTTATTAAATTTTCTATAAAATGGCGAATGCGCTGGTGAAAATCGACAATTTTCATATTCCTAATAACGTGTTTTTCGTTTTTCTCTACTATTTGTCTTGATGGAGCAGAGTCCGGACAACACTTGTCAAGCCATTGCTTTGCTTGAAACTTTAAAAAGCAATTAATACACGAAACTCAGATTTTTCCATTCTTTTCAAAATTACAGCAATAGTGTCACTAAAACCACTGTAACGTGTGAACTAAACGCCAGATTATCATGAAATTTTGACATGTGTTTGTCAATTTGTCAATAGTCAAGTTTAAATTATTTGCACCTTTGGGTGGGTCACGTGCCAAATACATTTTAGACGTGTCAAGTTCAAAAGTGCATCGAATTTAGTTTCGCTTTATTAAAACTACAGATACTTACTTGTTGTTTTTTAATCATTCCAACTTCGCACGGGAGGGAGCAAGCCGATGTGGGGGTAACAGTTTGGTTGTGGTCGAATACTAAAATGTCCGGATTCAGTTCTAGCGAGTTAAACCATTTCCCAACCACCTGTAATAAAAACATACGTTTAGCAAAGGAATGTTTTTTTTTTCTGTTGCCGTATCGATATATTGAACCGCAGTGGATATACTTTCACTTCATTGTTTATTTCAGTATAAAATAACTGAGAAATGGGAGTATAATAACGTCACTAAAATAATTAGTTGGCCACCTATACATTGTGTCCTAAAATGATGGAACAAAATTCATATTTTTTGTTCCAGTTCAGATTTTAAAAAATCGCTGAAACAGGTCGATTAGTAAATAGAAATTGTTGCTTTTCTACAATATTTTCTATTTTTTTGAGCCATGTTTAACAGACGTATAACATAACCGACATTTTTTTAATAGGACGTTCTATATTTAATAGTATAAATAGATAGTCCTTCTAAATAGGCCAGAAAAATAAGCTGGGAAATGACCATTTCGCGACTTTTTATTTCGGCAAGCTGAATTTATCACTATAGATGCTAAATATTATGTACAGTAACATATTAGTTTCCACGGTCATAAAAATGGGGGGGAAGATTGTTTACAGGGTAGTTAATTGTATAATTTTTACGAAAATTCATGTTTTTCGCTTGTAACTTTTTTCTGTTCGTTTCCACGAGAAAACAGTAATGTACTTTTTTTTTCGTCTTCAAAAGACCTACAAAACTAGCTCTCGAGCGTCAAAAAATATTGATTAGATCAAAAGTTATAAACAGAAGAACTTTATTTTTGACTTTTGAATTAAACATTTATAAACTGCGTTTTTATTACCAGAACGTTTTGGTATCGCATCCTTTCATTCCTTATCACTGTAATAATTCACACGAAATCTGGACTCGGTAAGTTGAATAGATTACAAGTTATGGCCTTATAAACAAATTAATTAATTATTATTAGTCTGGACGATCCCGAGCATCTTCCACAATCGCACTGATTTTTTTCTTTACTTTGAGTTTAGAGGTTATTAAATTTTCTATAAAATGGCGAATGCGCTGGTGAAAATCGACAATTACCTTTTACATTCCTAATAACGCGTTTTTCGTTTTTCTCTACTATTTGTCTTGATGGAGCAGAGTCTGGATAACAGTTGTCAAGCCATTGCTTTGCTTGAACGGCATTTTGTTCCCATTAAAAAGCAATTAATACACGAAACTCAGATTTTTCCATTCTTTTCAAAATTACAGCAATAGTGTCACTAAAACCACTGTAACGTGTGAAAAAAACGTAAAAATTATACAATTAACCACCCTGTGAACAATCTCCCCCCCATTTTTATGACTGTGGAAACTAATATGTTATTGTACATAATATTTAGCATCTATAGTGACAAATTCAGCTTGCCGAAATAAAAAGTCGCGTCCAACTCTATATTTCCTGACCTAATAAAATATAGAGCGTCCCATTAAAAAAAAATGTCGGTAATGTTATAGATCTGTAATGAGACATGGCTCAAAAAAATAGAAAATATTGCAGAAAAGTGACAATTTCTATTTACTAATTGACCTGTTTTAGCGATTTTTTTTAATTTCAACTGGAAAAAAAAATGAATTTTGTTCCATCATTTACTTCGCATTATCTGATGTACTAAATAAATATGAAACATTTACACTACGTCGATAGGATCACTCATATCGTGACGCGTGTGAAATTACATAATAAGCATAGTTACAATTTTAGGTATGTACCAATTTGTGTCATAGAAGACTAATCACAACCCACATCTTCCGTTAGTTTACAAAAATATCTTGTGGTTGAAACAATTATCGTGTATTCTACAAATTTTTCAACCATTTATAGTTATTTAAAATAAAATTATCAGTTTACAATTCCACAACGTTTTGTGTACATACACTGCTCTCATTAATTTAGATTACAAAATATATCGAGTCTACGCAATTTAATATTAATTATCGGCTATTTACCCGGGTATTATTTTATAACGCGCCATTAAAGTGACAGAGTATCATTCATTTATATCGGACAAATTCGGTACGCCCGATTATATTTAGTATCGAAATCTATAGAGAAATTAGCAGGTGCTGTATAGAAATCACCAGTAATCATCTATTTTAGGCGAGGCAGGAAGTCTATAATTCCTAAAATATTTTTAATAGAAAATGCCGCTTTATGAGTTACACACTGAGAAAACAAGTATTTTTTCATAAGCTAAATTTTTAATAAAATTGCGAATACGCCATTGACAAGAACCGGTTTAAATTCAATATACTTTTTTGATAATTGTTTACTGTATACTGTAAAACTCAAATCCTCATAAAATTTTGCCTAACCTATTTTCTATTTTGGAGAAAAAAGTTTTAAAAATTCTAACTTAACACAAGAAGCATCATCACTGATTGCAACACTGTAGCGTATATATTTTTCATTTTTTAAAGGAAAATAACAAACATCCCTCACCCATCTGTAATTTTTCTGTCTGATGTGTCTGAAATAAGGTTATTAAGTACCGTAAATTGACTTTGTTGGGGGAAGTTCGTATTAAATAAATCAAATCTTAACCTAACCTAGAAACTTCATATACCTAGAAATGTTTATGTCTATATAATGTAATACAGAAAAAGTTTAACCAGGCCCAACCTAACTTTATGTAGAAGTATATGTATACTGTAAAAAAATCGGGGTGAGTGAAGTAATAAATGTTCGTGAATCCATTGAAAAGTGAAATTATTGAGTACATTTTCACTCAATATTGGGCATTTTGATCATTTTACTCATTTGTGATTATAATTAAACTAAAGCTGACTACTTTCACTCAAATATAGGTACTCTTTAAATACTTAATTAGTACTTACCTTGTAGTGATATCCTGAAGAGTTGACCAGTCTCTGGTAGTTCAAAATGTCGTACCGAGCCAGACCATCTCCGCTACTGTCGAATTTAACTGGACTGCCGGCCAAATCTGAAACAAATTAAACAATAAATGTAAGAAATAAACGTTGGATGTCTGTTTCGTGTTCAATCCTGTCATGTCCTATAAAGCGCCTGTGTTTCAAAAGGCGGTCAAAAAATAGAACCTTCATGTCTGATGCCTTAATCGAAAATTATGGAGTCGTTAATTTAAAAGTGCTGTTTCAATGATTGATTTAAAATTCTATAAGGTACCTATACAGGATGTAACTTTGGGGGACAGTTTGCTCTAAATCAAATAAATAATTGAGTTATAATTCGTTATTTAAACTGCACCGGACTTACCTTTTTAAACCAACTGCTTGGCACCTGGATAAGCATACGTGACCAATTTAAGTAAAACTAATTTATGTTTTTACTCTAAACAGCAACGAAATTAAGCCTCGAATGATGCGCACGAAATGAAAACTCGTATATTGCCATAAACGATGTAAAGTTCGAGAGTGTCTGGCGGGGATTGCAGCTCAACCCGTTTCGTCCGATAGTTTCCCATCAGCACGTGCTTGAGCTGATATGATCTGTCAACAGGGTGATGGGTAGAATGCGTAAAAAATAAACGGCCAACTGAAGTAGTGAAAAAATATGTACATATACGAATCAAGAGAGATAAGATTTGACAACTCTGTATATTGTAGCTCGCGGCTAGCAGTTAGCATACGCCGTTGTTTGGAGAATGAAAATCAGGAAAATTAGATTAACAACGCGACGGAATTTGAGAAACAAACTTAGATATGTTCCTAAAGGTCATGGGTAGCCCCCGCATAAATATGGTCCGCATACAAAGTTACACCCTGTGTATTTCTTCATATTCTTGCAATTTGGCAACAGTGTGGCTTTAGACTGAAGGAGTACGATGCAATTATTCATATTATGACAGCAGCATAACATGTTTGTGCTATGCTACGTAATGTTTTGAATATTTTCTCTGGCAAAAATGTTAATATTCATGGTTTTGTATACCATGTTAGAAATGTATTAGGGAGCACATATGCGTGGGACATGTGCTTTGCCGCATGCCATTATTACCAACATAAATTACAATACAATACTGTCAACAGTATATGGTGTTTAGCTCGGCATTACCTAACATTATTGATGCTATAATGCATACATAAAATCTAAAGGGCGATTGCTTCATCAATAAATGCTTTTAGTGGTTATATTTAAAACGATAATATAGTTTGTAAGTCACACTATGCTTCGTGGTGTTCCCGCTTACATGAAAATGTTATTAGAGGAAATTTTCAGACTTAATTTGTTCATTTTGGCTAAAAATTAAATACAAATAACACAGGCCTACCAAAAAAAAGTTCTGTGCTAAATATAGTTATATATAAGACTTTGTGTATTTTTTGTAGCTAAATACGAATCTGCAGTCCATTTTTTAGTAAAATACTAATATCCATCCCCTAAATTAGGGTGAATAATGAATAGCAACAATTTGTAGCCTTCCCGAAGTCAGTTGAACATGTATAAAAACGCCTAGCAATAAAATTTAATGAGTTGCATAGGCGTCCCTTAAAATTTTTTTCATTATATGTTCATTTGGCCAACAACACATTTTAATTATTTATGTCCTCAAACAATTTTATTATATTGATGGTAAATTTTGGTTATGACATATCAAAAAACATTTACATTTTTATTAAAATATATTACTGCTCGGCAAGAACCAACGGGAAGGTATGAACGTATCCCTGCCAGGAAAGGATGAGGACAGGTTGTTAGTTTAGATTAGAAAAGTTATTAAATAAAAATAATCAACAATAAAATAATTCCGCATGACTACACTGCACTGCTAGGCAATTTGTCAACAACTGAAATTTATGGCCGGTCGCCCAGTGCGGCTGTGTTTGTGCGCCGTTTGTCAGCGCGTGCATTCTTCAACTGGGCGTATACATTTCTACCACCAGGTTTAGTTCGACTAGACCTATAACAAGGTGTTAGTAAATAAGTGCGACAAATTTCAGGGGGTGATTCTACATGAGAAAATAATGGCAGTTTGCTTATAAACGTATGTCCGCAAATGATTCGTTTTCCGAGATACTGGGTGTCAAAGTTTTTCTTAAAAACTGACGATATAATTTATTGCTCTGAAACCGGTCGAGATGTGCAAATGAAATTTGGTGGGTTTTAAGAGGTAGTAATTGCGCATTATTTGACATGCAATTAAGAATTTTATGTTCATCATTGGCGCGCGTACGGGTAATAATCTCAATTTATTTAAAGAAAAAAATGGTACGCCAGAGATATTACAAATTAAAAATCATTTTTGAATTCCTCGTTCAATTTGTGACAAAAAATCTCTCTTGCCTTTTCTTCGTATGGATCTACCATATTGGATCTATCAGGAATTATCGGATTCGCACATCAGATTTGTCATCAGCGACCGCAAAAACCCGCGGTAACAAAATTCAGGCAAAAATATTGAATATATTGAATGTTACTTAAAGGGGTAAGTTAACCCTGGTCTGTAGGTGGTTTCCAATCCTTTGAGGGATAAATTATATTATATTTTTTAGTATTTTAGTCCAGGAAAATAAGGAAAAAAACTAGCGAATTTTTTTCTCTGAAATTTTTTTATAGATAAGTGTAGGTTTTGAGGTCAGAAAACGTGTCACATACGCAACTATCAGCAACATACAGCGTTTCGAGATATACGGGGTGTCCCAGACCACCCGTCCACCCCTTCTAAAATCCAAAGTACGTACATGGTTATGTGAAAAAGGGTTCAGATGAAAGTTACAGGTCTCCAAGGGGCATATTTATTGTCGTGAACTTGTCTGTGACCTTGAAGGTCATTTTCAAGGTCAACATAATTTTTTTAAATGGAAACCCTTAACCCTGATTCGGAAAGAGTGGAAAGTTCTAGGTTCAGATGATGTATCATGTGTGGGGTCCATTTGACCCCCCAAGGTCAAGGGGAAGGTGAATTTTATTTTTACTGAATCTTTCCACCCAAATGACCCCACACAAATAAGGTTTAGTGGAAAATGTGTCAGATAAACGTTGTAAGATTTTGAAGTGACATGTTTCGATAACCTTGACATGTGACATTAAAACAAATTTAGAAGAAGACTTTTGCAGAAATACACCAATAAAGAAGCACACATATTACAAGTTTATTTTGAAGCAGGATCATTTGCGCCTGCTGGAATTGACCTTGAAAATGACCTTCAAGGTCACAGACAAGATCACGACAATATGTGCCCCTTGGAGACCAGTACCTTTCATATGAACCATTTTTCACATAACCATGTCCTTTGGATTTTAGAAGGGGTGGACGGGTAGTCTAGGACACCCGGTATATGATTTTTCGCGTTTTTTTTTTACCAAAAACTACCAATATCTCAATGAAGATCCTTTTTTTTAAAGAAAGTTTCGAATAAGAGTTGTTCAAAATTAAATTTCCTACAAAATTGTTCCTATGAAAAATTTCTATTTTCCCAGTAGTTTTCCCGTATAGTTAATTTTTTTAAATGAAGTACAGATTATGTGAAAGTTAATGTTTTGGAGCCAAAATAATGGCCAATTCAATTTTAAAAAGTGAATTAGAGAAAAGAAAATCGCGGAAAATTCTTGGAAAATCTTACATAGTTTTCCCGAGGTTTGTATATTTTTTCAGCATCAAAAAATGATGGTAAAAATGATCTCTGGTACAGAATTTTTTTTTGTGGGGCCTACCCTATTTATTTGTATTTAATTCGTTGTAAATAAAATTTGTTAGGACCTGTATATTATTATCAGAATTCGGTATGTCCTACATCATATTTATTCGGTTGTGTTTTTATCTGTGATAAAGTTAACTTGATGAATTTATGGCGCAAGTAGTGTTTGAAAATTCCAGATTTAGGTTTATTTCCATTTTCCCTCCATTTACAAAGCTAATATTTGTTTAATGTCGCCAAATGCATTCCAGGACTTTTGGCTGCACATAAAATATATCGGCAAAGAAAAATATAAAAGTTTCTGATATAACTACCCTGGAAGTCGTAATTCTTTTCTCGCCCTAGAAAAATATAGATTGTGCATCAAATATAAAATAGAGCATACAAATATAAATCTCAGGACTCGTGTGTTCTGAACCGGAGTTGCTATTAACTTTTACATGATTTTTCAGATGAAGAAATTATGAGAACGCTTGTTCTACATCTTAGCGTCTAAGCTAAGTAAACACGGGAGGTATAAAATTGACAAACATTATTAACGCTAAGTTTAACATGTATAGAACATCGATATCGGGGTTACTGAGATCCGCTTGATCTTTTCAGTTCTTCAGACATTTTTCACCATCAGCAGACGCCTTCGCCTCTTGTTTTATCCCAAAGCTTTAAAATCCCTGCCTTTCTCGTTTACTTGAAAATCACTTGAACGCGAATCATCGGCGACAGCGATCAGATACGCTGTTTCCCAAGAAATATTTTCGTGATATGTTTTTTTTTAATTTCCGTGAAACAAAACTATTTGTCTTTCCTCAGTTTTACGTGCTGCTTGCAGAATTTTAAGGAAATACACGCCCCTGAGTTTTTATTGACAAAATCCGTTTATTTATTCCTGAAATAATTGGCATCAACCAAATAAAACTCCAGGGTATCAAATTTAACAAAGCTCTAATCTGAGAATCCGATGTAGACGACGCGATCCAAAATAAACAGGACTTTTTAAAAATAAGAATTTTTTTTGCAGAACCGATTTATTTTATTCAAGTACAGCGACCGCAATAACTCCGCTTCTATCCGTCCAAACGTCATGAAATTTTGACAGTACATCAGTGTAGGATCTAACTTCCCGAAGCATGTAGGTAATTGCCAATAGATGGCCTCACCAGTAATACTTATTTTTGAAAAGTTCTGTTTACCTTGGAATGCCCCTTGTATAAGCATTAAAAAAGTTAATAAGTCGTTCTTTCGGTACAAACAAAAGAATGTATTTATCTTCCGTTACGGAAAAAAATATAACTACATCGGGTTTTCAGAGAAGACTTGTGTGAAC